AGAGGGGGAGAGGGGGGGGAGGAGGGGCCTACGGTGTAGAAAGAAGAAATTTAGAAGAAAGTGAGCAGTTAAAATTGAGTTTGTCACGTCTGTATTTGAGAACTCACAGTAAGCGAACATCCATAATGATAAACAATAGTTGAATGAATCGAGAGAGAGAGATGGGGGACGGGGTGGGAAAGAAGGTTAGCATAGAGAAGCCGGGTGGGGAAGGTTTGGGGGGGGGGGGGAGGTCCGTTCGAAGACTGAAGGAGAAAGGAATGAGAGAAAGAGAGAGGGAAATAGTAGGGAGGTGGTCGTTAGACTAGATATGACTATATTTGCAAAAGGACACGCTGGGTGCAGTATGCCCCACATCTGTTCAACCATAATTTCCCAAGGAGTCCTTACAAATAAAACAAAACTAAACACCACAAAAATTGCAGCATAAAACAATCTCAAACCAGTGAGTGAAAACGGTCTGGTAAAACCGTAAGGATTGAATAAATCCTTCTGATCCTAGAGCCCAAGCCACCATAAGGGGGTCGCAACACTCAAGTCTCTAGCATTTAAATCATTGGAAATTCTGCAGCACTCAATATAACTTTATGACGCCCTTTCCACGCCATCGTTGTGAAGATCGCACCGTCAGCAGAATAGACTTTGCACCCTTAGGATTACAACGTTCTATCTGACATTTTTGGCCGTTTTGAGTTCCTAAGACCATGGGGTCAGAAACCAAGTGTCAGATTTTTCAAAATTGAATGCTTATTCTTAGTCGTTATCAAGATATTCAAAGATTTGCGTACGAAAAAGCTCGACATTTCTTGAAAATCAAAAATTGTAACGTCAAATTTCTCAAAACTAGGAACTGAGAAGATAGAACTTTGTAATTCTAGGGTAACGTAGCGTCTATTTATGACAGCGTATCCTACAGAGTTCATCCTACCTCGTAAAGGCTCGTAAAAATAACAAGGGAGAATTGGGGGCAGGGGGAGGGGTGAGAGGGGGAGAGAGGTGGGTGGGGGTGAGAGAGAGCAAAGAGGAGAAAGGGGAGAGAG